TTTCTTTGCAATTTTGATGATTTAAGTGAAAATATTCTTATTATTGATTGGGGATATAGTACAAGTAATTCTGAAAGTACTAAATTTGCAGGTGCATTGGAATGTATGCCAAATGAAGTCCTGGAATCATTAATCAATGGGGAAGAGATCATTTATGGGCCAAAAGTTGACTTGATGTGTTTTGTGCGTTCATTTTATTTAATGATCCATAGACCATCACTGGATAGGTCTCCCTTTGATAAAGATTATGATATTAAAAAACGAGCACAGACATTGTTAAATTTCTGGAGTGGTTGTGGAAAATCAGATGTATGGGACAGTATTTATAATGCAATAGAGGAATTAGACTATGACAAATTAATTCAAGAGCTTGAGAGGATTTTTTAAATTGCTAATTTCAGGTTGGATTTGCTCATCACTTTTATATTTCCTCTCTGATGTATTATAATTTACCTAACAGCATTGATATAATCAAAAAATAATAAAGTTTGCAAAAATAACAATAATAATAATGCTTCCAATAAAGTTTGCTCATATTGGGTTTGCAATTTTTCAATGCATGTATGCTAATGATCATTGCTACATATTCTTGAATGAGAAATATTGTCAGCAATGAAATTCTTCACACATGTAGTTGGCACTCTTAATAATGAAATATTATATTTTTGTTCTGACTTCAAACATGAAAAGGTAGTTTTTTGCATCAGAAAATACATGCTCTGTGAATAATAAACATCTTATTGTTTGTTACATAATGATCATTGAGCAAACAACCAACCACATCATGATCCACATGTTTTCTGTACAACCTAATTTCTCACCATTGCCTGCTATTATAAAATAAAGCCAGAAAGAATATTGTCATGAAATTCTTGTAAAATATGAGCAGGTGTGTGAAAGGTAAGTGATTCAAAACTTATCTGTTCTACATTATGATGAAACCAGAGAAAGTCTCAGCCAGGGTTGTGCAATTTTTCCAATACATCTTTTTCCCTTTCAAAACAAAGTAGATATTCCACCTTTTTTGCCATTTTTACAACCACAAATTCATCATTATGCTTTCCCTCATATACAACACTAGTTCTACCCACACCAGCAGATCGAACCAGATTTACAGTTTCACTGCCAAATTTTAATGATGGTTCTATCCATCCCAGTTCACTTGGTGAGCTTTCCATAAATGTTACCAGGTATTTCCACCCATTATTATTACTGCTGTTGTATTCCATAGGTTGGGGTGCTATGTATTCATATTTGAACTGAGTGATTGACTTTTGATAGTTATCAACTTTAGACACCTTATAGATATTAATTGTAATACAATCTGTCAACACTACAAATACAAAATTTCGCTGTGGCTGAAGTTGCAGTAGTTTTTCACCATATGATACTGCTTGTCCTATTTGTGCATTGCTAAAATTTGCACTAGTTAGCTTCTTTATCTCACCAATGGCTATAACATTTAAGTAATCTAAATGTGAATATCTTGGAATGAGTACAAAATCTGGTTTTCGAGTTGCCAGTACTGGTGAATTACGTGTATCTTCAACAATAAGCTTAAGCTTGCTTTTTAAAGGTCCATAATTTTTTAGTACATTGCATTCGCTCATAAAGTAATCTTGTATTTCCTCTTCATCTACATCTGCATCTTTGTTAGGCGGATTTGAAAACTTTCCAGGTGTTTTTGATTTGGTACTTGTGGTCACATTGAGTGGAAAGTCAATTTGGGTTCCATTTTCTCGCACTTCTTTGCCCTTATCAGTTTCTGTTGCAATACCTAAACACAAAACATTAATGGTGTTTGCAGAAATGGTTGATGGACCAGATGAATAGCATACCTGATGAATAGAGCGATTGATCCATAGCATTTTGTACCTTCCTAAAACCACTTTCCACTTTATTATCAACATTTCTAAAACCACTTTCCACTTTATTATCAACATTTCTAAAACCACTTTCCAATTTATTATCAACACTTTCCACTTTATTATTAAGTTCCTCGATCAGGGAAAATACATCAGTGGAGTTACCTTGCCCTGTTAACAAAAGAATTTAATATTACATAAGAATAAATATCTGGTATTATTATGGAAGAGAAATCAAGCCAAATCACATTCACTTGCATTTGACTAATTTTCTTACAACTCACTTACCAGAGGGCTGTTTGACAATAATATGAATAGAAGCATCTGCGATGTTCTCGGTAAATACATCACAAATTTTTCTAGTAGGGATTGACAATTTTAATTTATCTTGTATGTCTTTGAGGAAAATGTCAACCTCCATGGCATCTTCATCAATTGGAATGTTTACTTTCCACAGCACAATCTCAGCTGCATCAGTATTGGTGAATGTATTAGGTCTCTTCCCCTTGATTTTTTCCTTGAGGTCACTAACATCATCATCTGTTCCAGCAATAACTTTAAAAGCTTTCTCTTTAGAGCCACCCTCAACGAGGCAAAAAAGTATTTTGTTATTGGACATGGCTATTTGTACTTGTTCCAAATAACGCGAAAATGATTTTTAATGTCACAGAACCAGCACGGCTAAATTTTTCCAAATATGTGTATTACATCTACAGTATAACCTTGTCATAACGAAGGTATGGTACCAACAACTTAAATTCGTTGTGACAAAACTTCGTTGTGACGATCGGGATCTACGATTTTTTATTGTACGACAAAAACTTTTTTATTACAAAAATAAACATAAATATAATAATATACAACATAAATATGATAATGACAAAATGTAAAAATTTTTATTTGAAAAATGATTTAATGCTAGTTTGTGTTTGTTTTTTAATTCTTAATAATCCCAATTTTCTTTTTAATGATTTAAGAGTTTTAGTTTCGTTGTAATCAATCTCAATATCACCTTGTTGAAGAAAATCGTACACTGTTTCAATGGCAGCAATAGCATCACTAATTGAAACTTTAGTCTTAGATGTGGATGTACTACTTTCACCAGTTTCTTCTTCTACTGCTGGAATAAATGAAGCAATAATTTCTTCTTCTGTTATCATTTCATTGTCTTCCACCTCATCATCAATTGAAATATATTCTTCTACTGCTAATGGCGAAGTAAACTGTAATGTATTGATTAAAATATTGATTTCATTATTTTGGTTGTTTGAAATATCTTCTATTATATTTATAGAATTTTCTATTTCTTCATTAGATAGTTCCCCATCTAATAAAGGAATAATCACAGTTTTTTTCCAACAATTAAAAATAGTTGTTGATGTGACACTATTCCAGGACTTAGCAACATAATCTATTGCTTTTTTGATATCAATTGGTTTTGGATCTATACCAGTTTGTGCTAGATCATAATTTTTAATTTTCTTTTTAAGAAATAATTTTCTATAGTTTGCCTACAATTTATTAATTATTAACATCAATGTAATTTAATATTAACATTGAAACTAAAGAAATTACAAACCTTGAAACTATGAATTATTCCAGCGTCACATGGTTGTAGATGTGCAGTTGTATTTGGAGGAAGGTAATGAATTTTTACATTTGTTAACTCTAAATTATCCATTAAATTATGAGTTGGGGCATTATCAACGAGCAATAATATATTTCTATTTTCAAGATGCATTTTATTATTCAAATTTTTTAGGTAATCATTCCATATTGTAAGCTGCATCCATGCCTTACTGTTCCAATAATAATCAACAGGCAATGTACTTTTATCAACTCCTCTTAATGGTCTTGGGGTCTGATATTTATGAATAAATAAAGGTTTTAATTTTTCTGTTCCAATAGAATTGCATGTTAACAATACTGTTACTCTATCTTTGTTTTGCTTTATGCCTAGAATAGGTCCACTTGATAATCCACGATTTGGTTCCATTTTCCAAAAGAGACCAGTTTCATCACAGTTAAAAATATCTTCCAATCTGTAATCTTTAAGTATATTTCTTAACTCTATTCTCATTTGAGGGATTTGTTCTATGGGGGCACTTTGAGATTCTCCATGCTTGTTATATTCTTGAATTGAGTATCTTTGTTTAAAATTATGAAGCCAACCAGATGATGCTTTAAAGTTATTTACTTCTAATAATTCTGCAAACCTTAAAGCTTTTTCCTGTATAATAGAACCAGTGATTGTTAAATTACATTCAAGAGCCTTTTCAATCCATAATATCAAGGGTCCATCAATCTTAGAAGTAGATAAAGTACTTGTTCTTTTTAATCTTGCTTGATAGGAATTTAGGTCAGTACTAAGCCATCTTTCAGGATCTTTTAATATGTCACTCACTTGACCTTGACTGATACCATATCTTGCTGCTAATTCAACGTTTTTTGGTTCAGGTTTATTTTTTTTTAATAAGCAAATCTCTCTTTTTTGTTGTGCTGTAATAAAGTTTTGTTTTTTAGATGATGATGATTGTTCTTGTGACATTTTTTTAAAACTTCATAACAAACCATTCAAACAACAAGACTTGTATTTATATCTTAGAATTTCATAAATCACAGAAATAATCATATGTTTTATTACAATTTTGCAAAAATAATTTGTTTTATTACAATTTTTATTACAATTTTGCAAAAATAATAATCATACATTTGTTTTATTACAATTTATGCAAAAATAATCATACGTTCATTTTATTATATACAATTTTGCAAAAATAATAATCATACATTTGTTTTATTACAATTTATGCAAAAATAATCATATGTTCATTTTATTATATGATTTTCACAAAAATAATCATATGTTTTACAATTTCCGCAGAAATAATTATTAGTACATTTTTTTTGTTGATCATTTCAGGTGACTTCGTTGTAACGCGATTAGTAACTATATCAAAAAATCTCTACCAAAACTTCGTTGTCGGTATAATGCGATTTATTAATAAAATTTGGTGTAACAAAAGTTTTTTATTATTAAAAAAAAAAATCTCAAAATTCGCTGTGACAAAAATTCGTTGTGACAAAATTCATTGTGACAAGGTTTGACTGTAGTGGAAGTTTGTTGTTACACGAAACATTATACAGAACTCATTGCTTCTGAAACTTCTCCGTTATATAGTTGTTACCTCTCTAAATTGGAGATCAAGTTCAGATCCAATTCAAATCCAGTTTATCACTTACCTTTTATTGCCAGAATGTTTGCTGTGTATTGTAAAGCTACGTTGCACAATATAAAAAATTAGTGTAACATTTCAAATTTCTACTATGCTTACTTTACTAGCATAATGGACACTCATTTTGTGCAACAGTCATTTGTATAATAGGCAGGCGGTTACACAGAGCACATTGCTTCTGAAACTTTTCTGAGTCCATATCATCAGCAAGATCAAAATTATCTCACACTTTTATAAATCAAACTTTTGCAAGAACTTTCACCATAACATATGTTATGTTGATCATTTTTTGTGATCTGCAACAGTGTCCACTATGCTTACTTTACTATGCTCGTGAGTAATTTTTCCACTATGATCATTTCTAAATTTAGTAAAATATTACCAAATTTAGACTAGCTCTTGACTATCATATCTAAATTTGGCAGTAAGAAAACTGAAATCACATGAAGTCCTATTTTTTGAAAAATTTTGAACGAATTACAAAATTGCTATTTTGAAATTTGACCACATGGCACAGCAATAGGAGGTCTTTAGACCGAGCCAACCATATATACTGCATGATCATCTTTTTTCCACATGATAAGCATTTATCGTGCAATAATAAATAAATATCCTTTTCCAACCGAAGAGAACTGTTTAGTAAGAATAGATTTTGTTATTTTACAGTCGGGTTATTCGACTAATACTAAATTTTGAAAGTTATCATTATATCTTTCGAAATTTGTCTGAAGGTAATAGTGCTAATTACGACCCTGAACAAGATGATTAGAAGAACCGTTTCCAATATGTATTTAGAAAGACTTACATACATGATTTATCCATCGCGGTTCATCTAATAATAATACTAACAGAAATGTATTCACGGGTCCTCTGACAATCACTGTTGAAACATGGAATTATGAATAATTCGAAGAAGTGTCATTCTCTCGGAAGTCAAATAACATAGGAATTTTACTAGAGGTAACTGGAGATTTCAATATATATATATATATATATATATAATCCAAAGTGTGACAATAAGTCAAAAAAAAATTTTTTTGTAAAAGATATATGCATTTGTAAGTATACTTTTTTTTAATCTTTTATAGGTAGATAATTAAAGAAAAAAAAATACAAAAGAATATAGAATTCCTAACGAGTCGAGTTTTCTGTTTTTCAATAAATCGTAGTCTCACGAATTGACCTGGGACAGTCGGAGTTAGTACAAATTTAATTCATTTAACTGATTTTAAAATAAAGGTCCGCTTAGATTTTCAACGAACAATATAACTGATAGTAATAGTATATGCACATTGCTAATTAAAAAAGTTTTCTTTGTCAGTTTTATTTAAATTTTAGTGGTAAAAGCAATTTTTTCTTTACATAATAATAATAGTGGTAGATGTAATGTATTTATTTTTCTACTAACAAAAATAGTCATAGTAGGGTTTAAATTATTTGTTTTATTCGTTATTATGAATAGAAATTCTAGGTCGAGATTCAACTGACTTCGTTTCAACAGATTATAATCAATATTAATATTAAATTCGCGTTTCAACAGGATTTTAAAAATCTGTTACATATTCCTATTATTAACCCGTTGAAACGCGATTACTATTACAATCAGTAATTTCGTTTCAATGGATTTTAAATGAAATTTCTTATGTGTCCAGCCACTCCGTTAAAACGAGGGTTATACTGTACTATTGGTTTCATTCTTTGTTTTATCTTCTCTATAATCGCTATCCTTAACAGGATTTTTTTTAGTATTACCTTATTTTTTTTTAAAGTATTTTTTTTTTATAATTAAGGATTTTGACTTTCAACTTGCGATAAAGTAAGTTACAAAAACTAAATTATTATTGCATTTATTAATACATTATGAACAAAAATAACAATAAAACAGTAAAGGTAAGAACAACAAAGATAAATGAGGTGAGACAACAACAAGAGTCAGCTTACGAAAAACAATTGATGTTGGTATGTTATGTTAAGTCTTACTTTAGAAACTTTCGAAATGTATATTGAGAAGACAAACTATTATCCTCATTTTTGTAATAAAAGACAACTCTTTAATAAAGAGTTCAAAGATAAAGTAGGATCCGCTTGGGACTATAAGGATTTGTTTTGGATCTCAATTATTAGTTTTCACATAATGATTGGTCCTACCTATTATTAAAAAATGGAATTTTACAAGAATTTAGTTCATCTTTTAATTAGTACAATTATGAAAGATACAGTAACATTTCTTGTAAATCCAAAGCAAACCACAAGATGCGATTGAATGGATTATTCAGAAAGTTGTGTATAGAACCATAGAACAGAAACAATTGTTTGAAAATCAAAAATATCATCCAAGGATTTGAAGAAATTGAGAATATTGTCATGAATCTAAGCACAAACA